TAACAATTATAAAAAGTTGACCGAAGGCCCGAAGGCTGGTTAATAGTGAAACCAGGATTTGAATCTAAAGGGTGCTACTCGGTGCCCGTGACTCTCTTGGTTTCAGCCTGGACAAAGTCCGGAGCTCCAGGAATCTCCTCAGTCCCAGGCAGGTCAGGATGGTCGCTCACTGTAGCTCCAGCCTGGTGACCTCCACAGAGATGGGGAGAGCCGTGACGTAGTGGCCTTTCGGGGCAGGCTGTGGGTCCTGCCGTTACAAAGCAGATGGCCTGTCTTTATATAAGAATGGCTTCCTCCGAGATTACTGGGGGTCACTCTCGCTTCTCCCAGCTTTATGCCCTTGACCTAGACACGCCCCCATTCCAGCTTCGCTTTGATGGATGGCCCAGACGGCACTCACTCAGGCACAGCATGATTTTGTGCATTTGGGGAAGACACGTCTGTAACCGCATTGCTGCACCCTCAGAGCATGGTGGTGTAGGTGAGGGATCGTGCTCAGGCTGTTAGCAAAACCAGATTTGGAGAGCGAAGTCAGTTGGGTGTTGGGGCTGATTTGTCCGCGGGAGGGGGAGCGGAGGCCCGTGTGGATCTGGGTGATTTAGTACGAAGCGCCTCACTTTGGACGTTGGCGGGAGGGAGAGCACAGATTCTGCGGTGGCGGCTCCAAGGGTGCGGGCGTGGTCTGCCGTCTTGAGGGACAGCATGGCACAGTGGTGAAGACCACCATTTCTGGAAGCAGGCCTGGGTTTGAATTTGCCATTTGTTGTGCCATTTGCTGGCTGTGTGATCTTGGGCAAGTTACTTAACCTCTCTGGGCTTCAGTTGCCTCAACTGTAAAATGGGAATGAATGATATTATTATCATTCGTTATTTCTAACTTCTGGGGTTTTTATGAGAAGTCCATGAAGCACTGTGAGAAAAAGCCTTAGCGTGGTGTCAGGCATCAGGCACGCGATAAATTCTCAATAAATAGTAGTTGTCATGATTATTATTATTAACTCTTGCTGTACTTTATGAGACCTGACTTCCGGCCCTGGGTCTGCTGCTAGCTACCCTGGGGAGGTGAGGCAAGTGTATCAAGTCCGACTGTTTTTCTGTAAACTGATGGAGTTTGACTCTAATCCCCGGGCATCCCACCTATCTCCAGTTTTCTGAAATGGATCAAAAATGAGTTCCCACCCAGGGCCCCACAGCCTTTCGGTTTGATGTCATCCGACTGGGATTAACAATCCAGCAGCTCCTTTCCACCCCCCCAGACACAGGCAAGGTCAGGGAATGGATGAGGCGGGCTCTGTTCCTTAGTTGTGAGCCAACTTTCTGTCACCTGCTGTCACTTTACTGTGAGCGGAGTGTCCACTTGAGAACAACGTGCTCTTCATCAGAGTAAAATAAACACGGGAGCTTGATTCTGATTTTAGCTTCATTTATGTATCTTGGACTACGTCCTGGGTCCAAGAAATTGTGCCGTAAATTAAACCAATTAGATTCTTACAAAACAGTTTTGCATTTCGTTCATTAGAGTGTAGAAAGGAAAAAAAGCAAGTGTTGTAGCTAAATAAAACTTGCGGTGGTGGGTGGGTGGCGGAAGGCCACTGTTAAATGTCCTCGGGGACTCCTTTCTTAGGGCTTTTGATCACTAGACCTTTTATTTAAAAAAAAAAAAAATGCTGATGCCACTGGTGGTTTCTTCCTTGTGGAGCAGAAAAAGCCTGTCCGGTGCTTATAAAGGAAGCCTTACGGGGCACCTGGGTGGCTCAGGCGGTTACGCGTCTCGATTTCAGCTCCGGTCACGGTCTCACAGTCGTGGGATCTGGGATTGAGCCCCGCCTCGGGCTCTGCACTGACAGCACAGAGCCTGCTTGGGATTCTCTCTCTCTGCCCCTCCCCTGCTCTTTCTCTCTCTCTCTCTCAAAATAAATAAATATTTTTTAAAAGGAAGCCTTTAATCCTAGCTCATTTATAAGCTTTTTTGAGTACCTACTGTGTGCCAAGCACCGGGGAAAAATGTGAATGAGGTGGAGAGGGTCTCTACCCCCGTGCCCATGCCTGGCATATCATACGCAGGTGCTTGAGAAAAGTGTGTTGGATGAATGCAGTATACTAATAACTGTTAGTTAATAGTCTGGCCCTCATATCACATCACCGCAATGACTCCTGTAACACCAGATTACATTTTAGATCGCCTGTCCTAGAAGTGGCCAGCCAACCCAGTCTTGGGCCGGGTCAGGAGGAAACTTGGCACTTGACCATCAGCCCAGCATGGCAGCAGCTGAGAGCATGGGCTGCCTGTGTCAGAAGCCAGTCTTCACCTCTTCCTAGTCGCAAGACCTGGGCAAGTTACCTACCCCTGCCTCAGTTACTCCTATCCATAAAATGGGGATAGCGGTGGTACCCACCCTGTGAGACTTCTGTGCAGATTTATGTGTGAACTGCTCGGCACACCGTGAGGGTTCTCTAAACCGTGGCTGCCACCATCCGTGAGTGTCGGTTGCTCAGCCTTCTCTGATGCCACTTTTCCTAAGACACACGTGGGATAAACATACTTACCACTTGTTTGCCTAATTGCCAACCCTTCCTTTGTGTCCCAGGCACACAGTAGGTCCCCACTGCTACCATTTGGATGTGAAGAGCCTAGCGGTCAGGTTTGAGCCTTGGCAGGGCAACTTTCCGCCTCCATGGTCTTGACCTTGGTCAAGTTGCTGAAGTCAAGAGAGGCTCAGAGAGGTTAGTACTTCCTTCTCTGTGGGAAGGATTACCCTTAACCAAGTGCCTAGCACACAATGAGCACTCACTCCATAAATAGTGAGACTGTTGTCATTCGCGCAAAAGGCACACAAAGCCCCTTTGGCTTTTGTGGCCTGGCGTGCCAAAGCCAAAGCTGATTCACGGGGCGTCCAACGAAGCCCGCACGGCCAGGGCTGGAGGAGGCCCCGAGGACAGACGGTCTTGGGAAAGGGCCCGTGTTGCGGGCCCCACACGGTCAAAGCGTTTTAAAGGCCTTGTATTAGAAAAATAAACCAATTAAATAATACTGCCCCCCATAAAAGCTGACTTTTAATGGACTCCACGGTGGGGTTCTCACCGCGGCGGTCTGCAGCCCCAGTCTCGGTGAGCCTGTCTGCCGCCATGGGGAGAGTTAATCTCGCACGGCGTGAGCATAATTTTACAAGTTTTATGGCTGTTTTTTCTCTTCCAAAGTGTTGCTATGTCATTGTGCACCGAGGGCAACTTGCGTGCATTTAACAGTTTACCTCGTTTGGGGTGGAAATGAAAAATGAAGCAATAAATTAAAGAAAAACACAACGTGGATTTTTTTTTCCCCCTTCTTGTCGAGGCAGCCGTGGAGGAACAAAGAGGCAGTGTTTGCCCCGCACAGCCCAGTCAAATCCTAACAGCTTTTATGTATGGACACTGGCCCGCAGATCGCCTCCCCGGAGAGGGCCGTGGGGCTCGGGGAGCGTTGGGGGGCTGGTTCCGCCGATCCCAGCGATACCTGGGACCTTTCTCCAGGGCAGAGGTCAGCAAACTGCAGCCCGCGGGCCGGAGCCAGCCCAGCGCCTGTTTCTGTGACACGGTTGAAAAAAACCTCAAAAGAAGAATAATACTTCCTGACACGTGAAAATTACCTGGAATTCAGGCTTCGGCCTCCATAAATGGAGGGGCGTTGACACGCAGCCACGCCCGCCCGTTGTGTGTTGTCTGCGGCTGGCGCAACGCTGAGGCGCTGCCTGCCCTTTACGGGAAGAGTTTGCTGACCCCGCTGTAGGAAGGGGGTAAAGGAGAAGGGGACAGAAAATGCAGCTTCCGGTTTCCTGGAGTCGATGGTTTGTGCTGAGGGTGTCCACGTGGCTCAAAGTCCAAGAGGTGCCTGAGAAAGAGTGGATTCACCTGGAGAGCTCCCAGAAGTAATCGGCTACCCATCCAGGCCGTCTGCTCCGGGCAACAAAATGCAGCCCACTTCGCTGCTGCACAGAGCGGTGACTTCTCTAGGCTTGTGGATGGGTCCGCTTTCCTGGTCCTTCCCATGCCCCAGCCATGTCGTTCCACAAAGAAAATTGCCTCCTGCAGGAGAAGAAAACGGTCGTTCGCTCATTCATTCGTTCCTCCCTCCCCGCCGCCGCCCTCCCTTCAACAAATAATTATCAACAGGTGACTAGGTGTTAGACTCTGCGAGAGACTGCCCGGAACAGGAAGAATGAAAAAAGAAAGTTCTTTTCCCCTGAAAATTAGTTCTTGGGGCGGGCGCCTGGCTGGCTCAGTCGGCGGAGCGCGTGACTCTTGACCTCGGGGTTGGGAGTTTGAGCCCCACGTTCGTGTAGAGGTTACTTAAAAATGAAATCTTAAAAAGAAATAGGTCGTGGTGTCCTCAGTGCCATTGGTTTTTGAGGAGTTCTTTTAATTCTGCCTCTTTGATTAATTTTAAGTTCCACCTCTGTTTAGAACCATAAACCCGTGTCCTTTCTTCCTCGACCTGCTACTTTCATTAAAAATAACCGAATTTACAAGAGGCTTTGGGGTGACCGGGCGTCTGACTTAGCCCGTGGGAAGAGCCCTCCGGGGGAAGGCGCTGCAGCCTGCGCAGGAGACCAGGGCCAGGTGCTCGGGGACCAGGAATAAGAGGCTGTAATGGATCATTGAGGGAGAAGGCTGTGGAATTTGAAATCTACCAAGCCTGGTGCTGCTGGCTGGAACTGTCTTGTAACAACTTTATGCTGCCTTTTGTAAGTTGCTTCATTACACTGAGTTTTAGAGGCCTGTCCTCTTTTCTTAAAAACTTGCCGGGAAGAAATGTTGAGCATTATTTATGTCCTCTGGGTGTGGAGAGATGCCTGAATACTGGGGCAGACATGCCTTTGGATAAAGGAACAACAGCTTTGCCAGAAACTGGTTCTCTGTCTTCCTTTCCTACCTGCTTCTTCTTCCCCCACCTCTGTGCCTTTTTCTTTGTCACACAAGCCTTTGTTGCTCATTTCTGATGAGCCTTCACTTTCTTTCCTCAGTCATGCGGAGGAACCCCTTTGGCGTGGACATCTGCTGCCGTAAGGGGTCTCGAAGCCCCCTGCAGGAGCTCTACAACCCAACCCAGGTAAGCCCTGGAAACTTTCTCGCTTGTTCGATTTGGTCTCCGTGCGTCGATCTCTGGAGGGGAGGTGGCGAGAGGGGGAGGGAGAACGATAAACTTCAAAATTTGGTTCTTGAGGGATTTGAAACTTCCTTCTACTGCCTGGCATTTTAGCTTCGGTGATTGCTTTCTTGGTCACCCTTTCTCTGTATAATGGCTCTGAAGTTCTAGCAAGAAGGATTAAGAATTCCAGAAATGCCCTGGTGTAGTGCTGGACTGAGCTTTCAGGCAGACCTGCTCAGGTTAGAGATTCTCCACAGTCACAGGTGCCAGCGACGGGACTCTGAAACTGTAGAGCCGCAGGGGCTGGGCAGTCTCTCCCTTAGCACCCCCAAAGAAAGTTCACGTGTGGATGAACCTGCCACCCTGCTCCCACGCCGGTTTATTAAAGTCCAAGATGCCCCCAAGAATTCCACCTCACTGCACCAGTTTACCAAGATTCAATTTTGTGGGGGTGCTTTTTGTTAAGTCACCTCATGATAAATTGAATTTGATCATGAAGAGTTTTTCTGTGAGCAAAATAAGCTCCACGCCAGGAAATGTGTCTCGTGGAAAGCTAGGAGCAAAGGGAGGAGGTCTGGTCGCCATGGCGATGGCCTCCGTGGTGTGTGGGTCTTGATGTGGAGACCATAAGGCTGGTTCTCTTTTGGGAACGTTAATTAGCAATTGATGCCAGGAAACAGTAAACAACTTGTGGCCTATGATCTGACCTTTGATTGCTGTTAAAAAAGAAAAAAAATGCACTGCTTTAGCCATAGCCTCTGTGCTTTATTTTGCATCAAATTCTTAATTCAGTATTTCTGTGGACTAAGGTGCTTGGTAGAGGAAGATAATACCTGGGCCTCAAAGGTACTGAAGTCCCTGAAGTCTCGCAAAGGGCACTTTGTGATCCCACACATCTTCCTTGTCTCTCACTTGCACTCCCTTCTGGAAAAACGGACTCCCGAGTTTGTACATCACGGGTGGCCTAACCAGGTGAATTCACTCCCCCGTCAGCCCCGCTGCTTTGGGGTTCTAGTATGACAAGGCTGGATTAGCTAGGTCATTGCAAACTCAGATTGCCTGAGGCTTCCTTAATGGGTTCTCTGGTGATTTAGCAGGGAATTTGATATTTGGGTTTTGTTTGGTGCCCAGATAATCTGATTATTATAGGCAAGTCTCCTGGCATGTTCACACACCTGTCCTTAGGAAGAGGCGGAATCGGCCTCGACAAAGGATAGGAATTCTGGAAATCCATGTTGAAAACAGCACATGCTGCCGAGATGCAGACCGTTCCTATCTTTTTGTCGACAGGCTCTGTTCTCAGATCCTTTTCCCTTTCAAAATACAACCGCTGAAGCACCGCTATGTTCCTGAGGAAATTTCTATGGGCAGCATATGGTGTCGTGGGAAGAGCTTATTTCTGAAGCAGACACCCCTCTGGACAGGAAGCGCGTGGACTGGGTCTAGGCTGTGTCCTGTCGTATCCCCACCCCCTAACACAGGGCCTGACCTATAGCATGTGCCCCCAAATATCTATGATTGAGAAAATCAAAGTCTAGGTTCAAATCCCTACCTCACCTCCAACTGGTTGTGCAACTCGAGTACGTGATGAGTCCATTTCTCTGGAATGTTGGGAGGCCAAAATAACCCTGCTGTGTCAGGGGCTATGTAAACATCATTCATCATTATCCTGGTCGTGAGGGTGGTTTCCATACCGGAAGCCTTGACTTCAGACGTGGGTCCAAAGCCTGGTTTCTTCATTTCCTAGCTACGTGAGTGTGGGCAAGACAGTTGGCCCCTCTGAAGTTGCTTTCCCTCGTTTATAACATGATGCTAAGAGTACCTGCCTTGCAGGTTTGCATGAGAGGATATATTTTGCTCTGTGCCTCCTGTGGAGTTTGTTCCTTCCTGGATTCATTCACTCGTTCCCTCATTCATTTCTTCACCCACCATTGTAAGTGCCAGGTGCTGGGCACAAAAGGGTGAGCTGGGCATATGTGGTTAGCCTTCCATAGCTGGTTCCTCTAGTTACCCCAGGGTTGGCTCGAGTTGACTGGAACAGGAGACCCTGCTTAGTCCCTTGGTCAACCCACCAAAGGAGAGATAACCTTCCTGGGTGGAGGTCATCTCTTCCTTCTGGTGGTGTTTTGAGTATTGTCTGGGTGAGAAGCTCATTTAGCGGTAGCCTAGGGCCTGGGAGGGAAGATGGGGCTGGAGAGGCCGCCCTGGGAACCATGCTCGAGGCTGGAGGTGGGTGAGTCACCTCCAGCAGGAATGTCGTGGGCAAGCTGTCTGGCCCCCTTCTCTGACAACCAGGAAAATGTCCCTGCAGGAAGATCTCCCCGTTTCCTCGGGATGTTACCCGGGATGTTTTTTTCTTAGGCTGGTTTCCTTTACAAGCTGCAATTATGTTCCATTCCCACGCAAATACAGTCAGGGGCGCTTCTCGGAGACACTGTCTTGTTGATCCTTTGGGCTGCTGTGGGCGGGGCGTTGAGAGGAGGGAGCAGGCGCCCCCGATGAGGTTAGTTCCGTGTCCACAAGACATTTACAAACTTTGCACCCGATTGGGCACGGTCGTGGCTTCTCACGTTTCCCTACCAGTCAAGCTGTTGAGGCCGCTAAGCCTGGACTGATATTATCACGGAGGCAGATGACAAACCCTGAAGTTGCTAGAAACCAAACTGCTCCTGGAGATGCCGTTTCCCCCGTTTTATGCCACCTGGTTATTTGGGTTTGATATGTGATAGTGAAAACAGGAACCGTTCATTGTAGATGGGAAACCAGGGCTGTAGCAAGAAGGAAGCATCTTAGTTACATGTATCGGTGCTGTGGACCAGATGATATCTAGATGCTTATCAACATCTCATCGAACGTTCATAATAAACCCCAAACTAGGCATAACACCTCCATTTCACGTATGGGAGAGCTGAGGCCAAGAAGGTTCTACAACTTGCAGAGGGTCACAGCTAGCAAGAAGCCGAGTAAAGATTTAAACCCAGGATGAAGTACAAATCCATTTATCTCCACGCTCCAGTCACTGTCGCCAGCAAAGTTCCCTTGGCAGGAATTGCCCCATCTCCCCTCTAAAACCACAGCAGGATCACACCCAGATTTTTATGGGACAAAGACTTAAAGGCGCCCTTGGGAAAATTGGCCATCATCTGATTTGTCATGTCCAGGGTTTTCTTATTTTAGTGCCTCCCAAATCCCTAACCGTTAAAACAACAATTGGTTAAAAAAAAAAGTTGATATTCTTAGCAAAACTGCACTCTGATGTCTTATAATTTTCCTGGTCTGTGCTGTCTCCCTGGCCCCAAAATAAAATGTAATTGCTGATCAGATCAGCTGGTGTGAAGTCACTGAAAGTTCAGGAGTTGCCAACTGCATATTTGTGGGCCGAGCACATCTGTGGGCCGGCCCGGCTCAGCTCACATCGCAGGGCATAGCTAAGTTGTCGGCCATTAATAGGGCATAATTGCCCCCAAATGCCAGCGGGAGCGAGACAGCCTGTCCCTTCTGCCTCGCCCACCTCCTGGTCCTCTCGCGGGCTCCCTGAGATGTTCACAGCAGCACTCATGTGGTTCGGCCCTGCCCCTGCCCGGTGCTTTCTTTAGCCTTTATCCTCGCTCTGTGATTACCACGTTCCGAGAAGACAGATGCGCAGCCCAGGGGCTGACCAGGAATTCGTAAACACAGAGTCTAGAAGGCTTGCAGGAATGCACCGGATGCAACTGTCTGCGGGCATTCCTAAGGCTGTGTGAGGGCCAGTCCGTGTGTGAGGGATCCAGTTGGGTTCTGGGTGAACTGCTTGAGGAAAAAAGGATCTAACAGGAAGAGGGGAAAAAAGCTTCCGGGGATGCCAAGCGTTGGCAAGATCCCTGAGGCCACTCCTGAGTTCTATGTTGTTTGATGGCCCCTTGTGCGTCCAGTCTTCAGTGTGCTAAAGTGAATTTACCTCTCTATACGGTGGGCTCCAGGACAAACGATGGAAAGAGGGAGAGAAGGTGGGAGGGGAGGCAGAAAGGAAGAAAAGTTACCATTCATTGGAAGTATCATCTACCTTCACTATACTGCACTACACTATTCGAGGCATTTCCATACATATCTCATTGTTTCTAGGTTGAACCCCATTTTTCAGATAAGTTAACTGAGGTTCAGTTGACTGAGCAATTTGCCAAGGTCACAAAGCCCCTAAATATGGTAGAGCCAGGCCCATCTGACCTAGCGAGATTGTGGGAGGATGAGAGCCTCTCACGTTCTCTTTCCCAGGTGGAAAAAAATGCCTCCTTGAGGTTCTCTTTCTTAGTGACCCAAGCTGAGATGGGTGTGCTCAGGACAGCTGTAAAAGTCCCAAAGTTGGGGGCCAAGGCTTGTGGGGTGCTATGGAAGGCATAGTAGATTTCCAATAAACAATTGAAGTTTTGTTTTTTGCTTCCTGAACCTGATATTTGGAGAGGCCTTTGTCTCTGGGCTGGAGCCAGGCTAAGCAGGAATCGCCCTCAGGAGCTCTGCCATGGGAGAGATTGGGAAGTTGGGGTCTTTAAGTTTAGATTGATAAAAGCTTGAATTATCCCAGGGGGTCGGGAGGGGGAGCTGTTCTAGCACCCGCCTGAATAGCTTTCTCAGCAACGCTTGCCCAACTCTGTTTCTTCTGCACACATGTATGGGGTGAACAGAGCGAAAGCACATGGGGAGGAGAGGCACGTAGGTAATAGACATGATACGTGCTGTACGATAGAAGCTTTTCAGTTATGGGAGAATCAGAAGCGAGTCATCAGCCCTTCAAAGTACGGGGCAAGTGGGAGGCTTTGTAGAGGGGGTGGCGGTTGAACTAGGTCTTTGAAGACGCGTCAGACTTCACCTGACAGAGAAGAGGGAACGGCATCACAGAGAGGAGGAACAGCAGGAGTCGGGGCCCCAGGAGGGCCCGTCTGTGGCACATTCAGAGAACGGTGAGGGGTTTGCAGCTGGAGTGAGGA